TTATTTATTTATTTATTTATTTATTTATTTATTTATTTATTTATTTATTTATATCCCGCCTATCTAGTCAATTAAGACCACTCTAGGCGGCTTACAACATACACAGCAAGACATTATAAAAACCAATTTTTTAGGTAGGCGGTGCATCATGGCCTCTCCCAATTTGAAGAGACCCTTGTCCGGCAGGCAGAGGCCAAGAGGCAGACCTGAAACTGCTACCACCCAATTTTGGTTCCAATTCTCCGGCAGGGATAACAGATAAAGACAGTGCATCGATCAGTATGTAAGCCAATTTATTAAACATATAGCTGAGCCCCATCCCTAAAAGGCGGACCGGGGGCCCCATCATACATTTGGTAAAGCAGTTTACTGTATAAGTTTTCTTACACAAAGTACAATAAGCAGAGCGTCCCCTATTGGTCTCCTGAACCCTATGGGTGCCTGTTGGGTCATCCTATTGGATGTGATAGATGTAAGAAAATATCCGATTTGTCCCCCCCACACACACTTTGGACCTGTGGGTTAGTGGCTGCCAAGTTTGTGAATTTGCATGACCCATTGTGCAGCTTGTCTTTAATGACGGATTATGAGCCATCTGAGTTACCGTATGTTACAGTCTTTGCCTGAAGCACTGTGAAAAGGAATTATTCTGAGTTGGCCTTGAATGGGGGGGGGGTGTTTTCTCACAAAGCTGTGTAATAATGTAGGAATGTTTCCGTGAGCGCCAAGGGGTCAGGCGCACCAAGAGAGATCCATGAGATGAAATGAGGATACAAAATACATTGACTATAGAAAATGCATATAAAGTACAGATACTGTCAGAATATAGAAATTTTGTAGGCCTGAACCTGAATAAATGTATTATTAACGAGCTGCCATTGTGCGCAGATGTGAGTATGCTGAGTCACTCTGAAGATGATGCAATGTCTGGAAAGAAGAAGAAGACGCCAGGTGCAAAGGATGAAGTCATGTGTCTTCTGATTGGACTAGAGATGCCATGTACATGTATATAAGTGAACAGTGTCTATCATCCTCTTCCTTCTCCACCATTTGCTGCTAGCCACTATGTCCGTTTGTGTAAAGAGTTCCTGCCATGCTGATGTGATGCCTGTCTGTAAATACTTGTAATATACTGTAAATATAACCATCTTGCAAAAGAAGAACCTGTGTCTTCAATAACTCTGCGTTTTTCCTGTCGCCAAATCCGTGACAGATACAAAATGTATATAGACTATCATTATAGTAAGGAAATAGTAAGAAATCATATTTCAATTACAGGTACAAGGTATGATTACTTGTGTAAAATGCTGATTATGAATGTTAAGTACATGTGAATCAAATAGCATGTGTTGTCTTAAAATTGTAAAGCCGGTACTTCGTATATGTTATATCAGAACCTCCTCCTTACCCCCTATCAAAACCAGCCAAATCAGGGAGCTGGGCAGAGGACAGCTTGTATTTGTCTTTGTCGCTCTCAAATTGGCCTTCTTAGCCACACTAGACGCTGTTCCAAGACCTCTATTCAGGGCACATTACCACAGTCTCTCAAGACTGAAGGATGCCTACATGATATAATTAAGATAATTAAGAATGATCATCTTAAAATAGAACAGAAGGAGTTAATTAGCAAGATTAAAATTGGCAAAGAATTGGAAAAGTGACAAATTAAATTGGAAGACTGGTATAAAGAAATGTGGATCTTAGCAATTACAGGAATGGTAAATTAACATGTGAAATGAAAATAAAAAGAGGAATGGTAAAGTCTAACGCTTTTGAGGATGTACAGTATGTTTTTGGAGCATGCTTTTCGAAGGGGAAAGTCTCTAGGCCAGCAGAAGAATCAATGCATTTTTGGAGAGGAATGGGGTGAAAAGCGATATAAATTAATACTTCTGGTCCCAAGGGTGAAGGTGATGGCGCGGGTGGGGATAATCCAGAAGAGAGAGAGAGAGAGACTGTTTTCGAGTTTGTATGGGTGTGTGTGATCCTCCGACCGCTAGGGGGCACCCGCGGCCGCCGCTATGGCGACCCCGTCACTCTCCCCTCTGGCCTTTCCCGCCTCCGAGGCTCCTCCGGGCGCTCGGGTGGCGCGGGTTCGAGCCTGGGAGGCGCCCGCTCTTGCCGCGCACACACTCCCCCCCCCAGGAAGTGCCGGGCGGCAGGGCAGTCTAGTGGCGGGGCGGTGTGTGTGTGTGTGTGTGTGTGTGTGGGGGGGAACCATCCTCCGGTCTCTCCGTCCCTGCCGCCTCATGGCCGCCTTCCCGAGCCCCCTCTTCCCCGGCTGCTTCCGCACCGGCCCCCCCGCCCGCCGAGCCTACCGCGGCAGCCCGCTCTTGGCCGGC